CTACTAATATTGTTTGGTGCAATGTACACAGACACACACAGACACTATTTTTTATATATAGTAGATGAGAGCAATACTTAGCAAATTTGCATTGGAAAAATACACAAAAATATAGATTTAGATCAAAAATGAGCTATTTCGGCCAAATTTCAACATTTTAAACAGTGTTTCAAGTTTTCTAAACGCTTCTCCCCTCGAAATACCTCTCTTTACTAATGGCCCGGGTTTTTGGGTTGGATTTCGGCAGCTCTGTACGCTATTTCGAGCTGCTGTTACTAGCAAAAACGGTCTCGTTGGACTATTTTGCGCATAAAAAGTTCAAAGCGGTAACGGTGGCTTTAACCTATTAAAATTTTATTTTTAGCACACCATATCCTCCGTTAGACGGTCAAATTCTCACTTCGCTGTCGCTATCGCTGTCGAAAATGGTTTGTTTTTAGATTGTGTTATAAAAATCACATCTTCTTTAGCTTTTATGGTCTTCTGGAGCCTACATTATCGCAACACTATTAGTGCAACTAGCCTAACAAATTGTTTTACTATCACTGGGCCAACAGGTCGCGCTGCTGGCCGGGCTGGTCGTGTACGATGTGGCCGAATTTTTGTTTCGACCGTATAACGGGTAGGGGGAAACAGCAATATCGATAGTTTTTAACTTTTAGAATCTTGATGATAATTTTTTTGCGACCGTGCGAAGCGAGTGAATGGAAAAGTTAGCACGGCGCTCGAGAATTCGGCGATGGTGAATGGTTCGCCGGCGGAGAATAAATATTGATTGATTTCCTTGATTTGGCCAGATCAGCCTAAGCCTAAGTCTAGGCAGCTCAAGCTAACCATTTTAAGCCTACGTTTTAAAGACAGCTTTGCTCCCCTCTCACTCTCCCACTGACCTGTGCTTTTCCCTCAAAAAATCCTCACTAATTGGCCTAGATTTGCGTGGGATTTTTAAGAGTAAATTTGCAAGTGAGAAATTCTACTTTCTAGGTTACGGGATTTCTGGTGAACAATTGAACTAACGAATTATTTCAAGCGTCTGGCACACCAAGAAACAGTTACTGATTCCCAGCAACGTGCAGACCGTGCCGAAAAATAAACACTTTCGGATTTTAGCGGAAGTTTGGCGAGAATTCGGCTTGCGAATGTTGAGTTGAAGCGAAGCCCCCGAGCTTGGTTTGGCGAGCTTTCGAGCTAAACATCTCCAAAAACAAGCCCATGTTCGACGCGAGCGGTGGCGTCACGTAGCGCTAGAGAGTCGTTGTTAGGCTTTGGCTTAGGCTTAGGCGTAGGCTTAGGCGTAGGCTTAGGCGTAGGCTTAGGCTTAGACTTAGGCTTAGGCGGGCGTAACCCCAATAATGCACAAGATCCTGCTTCTAAAGCCCTTTGAGTTAGCACAAATTTTCAACCCCCAACTTCCGTTTCTTCGTTCCCATTAGTGCGTAATACATCAATAAACGTGTACCACTTGATACCAGGAAGTGAAAAGCCACAAGATATAAAGTGCGCTCTTTACCTCCTTCGCTGCAACACGAGATGAATTTCCTGGCCGACAACCCACAACACCCGTAGGAGCAAAAATTTGAGCGGCAACCGATGGTATCCCCCCAAATTCTTCCACGTTTATTTTGAAAACATGAATATACCACGAAAATACGCTAGAAATCTATGAGGTTTATCGTTACGACGCTGGTGATATTTGGTGCGGGCATCTCCGGAACTACGTCACATTCCTTTAGCCCGCCCTTCTTCGTGATCTCCAACTATCGCAAAGCTAGAATTACCAAATCGTCAGCAATGTTTATCTGGATGATGGGACACAGACCTTTTAGGTCAATTTTCTTATATAACAATACGACCGTCATGGTAACGTCAGCGGGTTGATAAGCGCGTACGTTGCGTTAAGGTCCAATTTATATCCATTATAACGAGATCCGACATTCTTCTTACCCGACGTGGCTGTAAATCATGCATGGTGGCATGGCCAGTCCGGTAAGTAACTTTTGAGGTTCGCTGGCATCAGGATGGCAAAAACTGCAATTTGTAAGGTAGGTTACATTACAGTTTGCCTTTGAAACGATTTTACTGGTTGTTTTCAGAGTATAAAAATTAGTACTGAGGATAATTTTCCGGAAACTATATATCTCCGAGGCGTTCGTACGCTTCATGATGTCGTTGAGCCAGATGTTTTTGTTTGGCGGAATGAAGAAGTTTTCCTATAATATCTTTAGCATACAAAAATTTTCAATAACTTTTGTATTTTTAGACCTAACTTAGGGTTGAAAAACCGCTTTGCGAAACTTTTAACCTATGGAAATCACATCCCATGATTTCTGCCCTTTGCATAATTCACGCATTCGATGACAAAAATGGCTGCGCGACCTCTCTTACTACCATAGTACCGTAACTTCCGAATATGCTAATTCATTTCTAACAAAAGAGGGCATCGATTTTTTCGCCAAAAACTTAAATTTACTCTAGGGAACTTACCCAATTTTTGAACATTTTATGCGTGCGCGGTGTCCACACGGTCATTACCCACCTCATGAGGTATAACATCACTATTCCGCCCCCCCTTCTTGAGGTACTACTCCACAAGTTTTGTGACGGAAGTTGCATGCAAAGTGGCACGGACACACTCACACACCCCCAGGCACTATTTTTATCATATAGTAGGATATTAATACCCTGTTTAGTGTTCTGTTAACATCTGCACGACGACCAGAATGAGCTTATTCAAGAGATTGGTCTTGGACACTGTGTATTATGCTTAACAGGTCTAAACTGGCGGGAAAATACAGTAGAGCTTATCGCTCAGGGACAAATCTGGCTGCAATCATATATCCCCCAATTCGGGTGAAAAGTGGGAGGGGAGGAGAGAGAGGAAAGAAATGAGAAGAAGATGATGGCTGGCTTTAAAGCCTGACACAAAAACTAATATTACGACTGACCCCAGAATAGTTTGCTGGCTTAAACTTACGCGTGGATCAACCCTAAGCCTAAACGTTGGTCTAACAAGTTTTCCAAAATTTCCGTCGCTTCATCGCCCTCTCATTGGGCGACTGATATTTCCGCCCCGCGCCCAAGTTCCCCTACGTCGCGCTGATCCTACCGTACAACTTATCCCTATTCCTCCGATAACAAGTGTTTTCCACATTGATCTGAGCTCCGTTTCCGTATTACAACCAGAAGATATATACACTCAAAATCGGCATCAATGGACTTTTGGCTTACAGGAAGCTCATGGCTTAAGAGTATAAACATTTGACCTCTTTAATTTGATGATTTTTAGCACTTTTTATCGGCTTCTAGGCGTACAGAATCGCCAAATGTTTTTGGCAAAAATGGGTGAGGAATTTCGTTTAAAGAAATTTTGAGGGAAAATGACAAATGAGAATTTCAAATATCAATTTGATTGTCGATCCTATGAGCCAACATCCATAATCCATTTTTTCAACTACTTAGGTCTTCCGGCTCATACATTTCCGTCTCACTACTCTCCCAAGCCCTCAACATCTTAATCCACATCTTCCTCGGTCCACAGCTCGCGCTTGTTGGCCAGCCGGCCGTCGGCAGATTGCGTTATTCCCTATTTGGAACGTACAATGCGTAAGTGGAAGCGTAGCGTAGTTGTGCCTCTAAAAAAAATCGAAAGTTTAGAATCCTCTCTATCATCTTCCTACGCCGGCCGAAGCAGCAGGAAATGACGATTAATACAGTGCAGGAGCACCAAGTAAAATCAGGGATCCCCCCGACGCATAGTGCAAGATAATAAAGGAGTTAATAATGTTTGGATTCTGGTCCCGGGTGTTAGGGTCTGGTGGCTGGTGCTGGATAGCTATGCGCCACACCTAACGACGTGCGAACAAACGTTTTGTAGGTGGTTCCTACGGGAGAATACCCCAGCAAGCGATCTGCGCGGAGCTTAAAAGCGTCAGTTGGAGCGTAGTGTAGTCGCAGTGCGCGCCTCTCCAAATCATTGTAAAAAATACCTTAAAAATCAATCCGCTGCCGTAAAGTGGCGCAAATCGTAGCTAGTAAACTGAGCAAAGTAGTTTGTAGGGATTTTACTAAACGTTGAAACAGTTTCGCGTAAATATCTGCAGCGCCGCTCCCATGTATCCTCGACTTTGATGCGGTTCTAGGTTTCCCTACTTCCCCCTAAAACGCTTCACCAAAGGCTCGCACCTTGTACTTCCTAAAAATCCCACGCAAAATTGATCATCATTCGAAGTAACATCCCCACCAGGCAGCCTATTACCGAAATTCACTGGGGACCGTTGCCGAATTATTGGAATCCCCGGCGATTAGTGAAATTACTGGTACTCCAGCCCTTACAGGCTCTCATTATCCCCATGCCTCGCGCCAAAGATTTCCGCGAGATCTTTGAAGTGTTGCTGCTGGCTTCCGCGTTTTTTGGTAAAATGAGCTTGAAAAATTGTACATATAATTCTAGGGTCTATATTTCTTACGGATCTATTCTCCGATTGGTTTCGCGGCTATGAGGTTGCGAGGATTGCGGTGGATCGCTCAGCTTTTGTGGATTTTGTTAATGTGGTCGATTTGGGGGTGACGAGTGTGGTGGGTGAAAAGGAGACTTTTGATGTTTTGGAGGCGTGTACTGTTACCGATCAAATCATATTGTATAATTTAGATTTATTTCCTTCGCTGCTCATCAACCCGATCGCTATTTATCTGATGGCAGCGAATAGAAAGGTTGCCTGGCCTGTAAGGTATCATTTTGGCCGATAACTTACCAAAAAAATTTAGATGCTACAAATTTTTTGTAATTTTTCTGCAAAAAAACATGCTAATTCCAGGCTTTTACTAATTTCCGCAAGCGGTCGCATGGACTGCCATCTGTTTTTGATAATCGAACTTTTTAAAGCTTGCACTGTGAGTTCTAGGGAATTCGATTTTTCCACGTATTAATTTTTTACAAAGTTATGACGTGTTCAATTTGGGTTTATACGAATATTTTTTAGAACGCAATAACTTCAATTTTTGATTTTTCAGTGTGGTTTTCCAATACCTACTTCCATCCGGCAATCTTTTGTTGGTCAAATGCCCTCAAGAAATTAATTGATGTCGGTGCAATTTTATATGGCTACACAGCTACCGTACCCTTCGGAATCCGGCTAGCCCGGTATATTATATCATTTGGGTAACACTATAACTATACCTTACACTTTTTGAAAAAACCATTTTATACTTTGTAGCAGCTCTCCTTTGGTCTTGGTATTTTCATCTGGTGCTCCAACTACCGTATCTGCAGCTTATCATACCGTATTCGATTGCGTTTGCACTGTGGATTGGCTTAGCATTGAAAATCGACTACGGTGAATGGTTACTGTATGCTGAGGATTTTGTGGTGTCGCTGACAGCCGCGTTGGATATTTGTGCGTATCGGGAATTGCAAGTGGCAGGTTTTCGACGTATATATTACATTTTGCAGTTACCGTACCTCACCAAATGTGAGGTATTGGATATACCAATCATTGAAAAACAGTCACAACTAAATCACGCCGCAAAAAGACCTTTTAGCACCGACCAAAAGTCCAGCAAACCAAAATGTTTGAACGAAGATTACAGCAATTATCGAAGCTTTGAAAATAACCTAGTTTACCAATTTTTGCATTTTTTTCAATACTACTGTATCCGTTAAAATTACACATATTAAAGCACACAAAATTTCTGTTATTTTTAGCACGCCTCAAAGGCCAGCAAACCGAAGAACTCCCAGATGCTGCTCGGGCTAATGGTGAGTTTTGCCATTAACTCTTCTAAATATTTTAGTCCAATTTTTAGTATATTTAATAGAATTACCTTAGTCTGCTATTACATTTTTCAGCTCTTGTTCTCTTCCGTTTTTTTACGTGTTGGTCATCCTGGCCGCGCAGCTCCTCCAATCGATCCTGGACGTATTTTGTGGTCCCCAGATCGCATCGCTAGGAGAGGCCTTGCTAAATCAGCTGGATTTGATTTATATTTCTGGCATATAATGGGTAAGTTCAAGCTACAGACTGCAGACTATCGATCAACTACACGCTACAAACGATAAACTACAGACCAAAAGAGCATACTGGAAGCATAAACTATACTAAAGCCAGCTACAAGCTACAAAATGCAGGCTACAAAGACAGCTACAGATGACACGCGTCAAAGGACAAGCTATAAACGACAAGCTAGCAAATTAGACTAAAAAACAGCACCCCTAAACCCAAACTCACCAAATATAAGCTATAAGCTACAACGCACATACATACAAGTTTTCGATTTTTCAGGATCCTGGCCATCGTTTTCCTGCGGAAACCGAAGAAAAGTGAACTACAATCCACAACTACGGGAAGACCTCGAGAATCGCCCAGAAGTCCAAGATCTCCAAATCTTACAATTTCTGTTGTTGGGCAAGCGATAAGATAAATTTCCATAGTCCCAAATAGAGTTTTCTATCAAAGTGCCCTGACCAAGCCAAACAAGCCTAGCCGATTTTGCTTTTCACACATCAAATCAAGCCTCGATGGAGATTGGGGAACTGACAGAAAACTACTCTAAGCGCACTGAATAATTCGGCGACGTTTTCCCATCGATAATCAGCCAGGGGTTGAGAACGGATTGTAAGTGATTCCCAGGCAAATGTATTTGCTGGGATTACAACTTTTCTCCCGTTTGCAGCATTTTACAGCAGGTAATAGGTCCACAAGTAGAGTTTCCTAGTATTGTACGAGAGCGAGGGAGCAGAGAGAGAAACAGAGTAAAACTGCATTCCGGTTTCCAAATCTTTCTAATTTGCAAACGCAAAAGTAACCGACGCCATATACCCAAAAAATCATCGCGGCCCTCTAATCCCTGAAATTAGGAAAATATCAGTAATACCGCGCCGGATGCTGGATTTACCGTAACTGACGCCTCGGGACCAGGCGATTGCTGACGTCTGGCAATTTTGCCCGCCTAATTTAAAAATTAAGCTTGGGAATCGAAAAATCTGGCCAATGTAAAAGCTAATTTTTAAGCTTTGGAAAATTCCATCGGATTCACTGGGACATTTCAACATTTTGCCTCAAATCAAAGCAAATCCCTTCCAACAGAAAGTGCACGAAATAATAGCCCAGCAGGTGTAAAGATCCAGAAAGTACGGTAATCCCTGAAAAATTCGTGACTGTAACCTTCTCTCCGCTACGACAGCGCGCGGCCCGATACACACCCTGGGTGTCTTATCTAAATCGCTTCCCATCAAACACAGAATATCCGCTGACGCCTGTGGATGGAAATTGACCTGTGAACGTTCAGAGGCAGGTGGTCGAAGGATTCGTGGGTATCGTTAAAACAAGCTATTCTACCGTATGTATGCTCCAACGCGTTCGTCTTGCTGTGATGAATATGTCGCAACCTTCAGGAATCTCAAGCGATGTTGTTGAAGTTCGCGTAGCCACACTCTACTGATCTGGGAATTGGGCCTTTGTATCAAAGCGGTCTAATGGCGTGTGCGTTGCGTGTCGCGGGCGCGTCAATATCCATAAAGCGTTCAGTGCCAAAAAATGGTCCTAACTTGCCCGTCCCTTTAAAAAATATGTTGAAAACGTCAAAAAAGGTCAAAAAATATTATAGAAAAGCGCTGAATTATCGTTTACTTTAATTTTCATATTTTACGTTTTACGTTTAACGTTTTAAAAACATATCTCTAAGGTGTAAAATCGTACCTAATTTTTTTTATTGCGCCAAATGTGATAAATTTGAGGAGCCGTCCTCGTGACAGACTGCATCTACGAATGGTCGTTGCCGCTCCAAGTTCTTGTAATCCGAATGGACACCGACTTTTTTACCGCGCTGGCCCATGGGTTGCAGGATTACTCGACATACCTGGTAAGAGCTGCAAAGTGGGTGGGTTGCGGCCGAGTTGTGTGTAGCGGGTCAGCTTAGAAAATACATATAGTTCTTCATTTTTGCCGCTTAAATGTTCCTTTAATAAATTTTCTGATGAATTTTTTTAGATATATATTTTCTCGATTCTCGTTAACCCGGTCGCAATTTATGTAACGGCGTCTAATAAAAAAATTGTTTGGCCGGTTAGGTGAGGGAAATTAACGATTATTGCTTAAGCGTTAGTAGTGATTAAAGGTGTAAATATACGAACAAACAAAATAAAATAAATAAGCTTGTTTTTAGATGTTTCATAGGTGGTACCTATGCCTTTAAATAATTATTTCAGACTCCTCCTGATCTCTGAAGCAGCAAGTCGTGCCTGCCAATGCATCGGGCAACTCGGCTATTCTCTGGGGGTGTAAGGGATCCAGTAATTCCTTTCTATTGTAATTTCCCAGCGGCTTTTACCCGCAAGCCCTGAAGGCCATGAACCTCTGGTGGATGAACTTTTGGGTCGAGGTGATTCGAAAGACAATGTGGATCTATTCGTACACCTACTGCTTGACATATTCGATCCGGATTGCCCATTATTTGATTTCATTTGGGTTGGTGTTTTCAAGAGTCGTTGAAGGCAAAAATATTCGTGAATTTCGTCGTAATCGATATATCGTAAATCATTAAAAAGGATTTTTAAGGTTTTTAGCTAGGTTTAGACAAATTCCGAGCCCTGGGATTTGCTGAGGTAATGGATTAAAATAGTCGAACGATATGCTCCAATTCACATTTCATTGATGCACAAATTCAGCCGCTTCCTAGCCGTGGCTTTCGATGGGCGCTACTTTCATTTGGCCGTGAAATGGCCGTATGCACAGCTACTTTTACCGTACCTCGCAGCGGTAGTAATTCGGATTCTCATCGCCTACTTTCCCGAATCCCTTGACTGGTCCCAGCGCTTCGACGATCTATTAATGTCGCACGTTGCGGCGTTTGATTTTTTCGCTTATAGGAAGTTTAGAGAGGTATGTTTGTGGCTTGACAATACCTTGAAAAGTAATAGGGAGTCGATTGTAGCCAAAGTCCATGCTAAAACCTAAGCCTATGCCTAAAACTAGCGTAAGCTTAAGCCTAAGTACAAGCCTAAGCCTCTACCTAAGCTTAAGCCTATTGCTTTTTAGCACACCAGCAAAGCAAGCAAAACGCGCACCACGCAGCAACGGCTGAGTTTAATGGTATAATTTTTTATATATTTCTTTGAAAACTTTCGCCCTTTTTGAATTCGTTGAAATAATCGAAGTTTTGCAAAAACAATGTTCTCATGATTTTATAAGCTTATTTTAGCTCGTTTTCTCGTCAGTTGTGTATCTCGTGATGACAATTGGTGCTCGTCTCCCCAAACTATTCTGCAAGTATGCCTCGGCTCTAACATAGCCGGTATTGTCAATATTCTTGTCATGCAGTTTGCACTCTTCTTATTTTTAGGCTATGACGGGTAGGAAAAAATGGATAGAAAGGATTGGTATCGATTTTTAGGCTTCTTACAATGATGTTTCTACGAAAGTCAAAGGGTTGATACGGCATCGTGACTTCTGGGTACTTAAAACGGGAAACTCCTATTGATATTTTTCACCAACTTCTATTCCGTATAAATGTTATTAGAATCATATTATCTTCAATTATTACTGACAAAACATGGTTAAACCTTTCAAATGCCTAAAAATAACATTTTTTTTAATTTTTATTCGTATACAATTAAGATCTCTGGCCCAACCTCCGGTACATTGGATCGGATCACCGTGCAATCCAGCGGCGAGTGCATAGACACTCATTTGATAAAAATTCGATTAGAGAAAAATATCGGCGCGGCCAGGAATTCAATTTCAATCCCCGGACTTTGCAGTGCCGTACCTGGCAGTTTTATGAACATTCGCGTTAAAATTTGTCATTGCGACAAAATCTCCGCGCAATTTTTCCTGGTAATTATCTATGCCGAATATACCAGTTTTCCTATACCTTCCCGTTTGCTACCCAATTTTGAAGCGCGTTCGCAGCCTATTTAGTGATGAATTATGACCTTTAGAATTCGACAAGGATGTGGCAACTACAAAGATTTCAAGGAGTTATCGTCGTCATCGCATTAACCACAGCAATATTTGGTAATACAAGTAAAATCAAGTGTGATTCAATAGTTCTCAGGATCATTTACCCTGCTGACCTACGGGTTTGGCTGGTTAGGGCAGATACGGGTCAGTAGCATCTATATTAATACCACCGTATATTACGAAGTATATGCTGATTCATCCCCTACTCTACTATCTCTACTCAAACGATTTTGTACGTATTATCGGACAAAAAACGCGTTGATTTCACTTATTATGTAAACTATCCAGATTTAGATTTATATCGTTTCAATCCTCGTGAATCCTATTGCCATCTATGTGACGGCGATTAATCAGGAGATTGCTTTGCCCATTCGGTCAGTCAATTTCAGGAAATGCTAAAATTCGTCTCTGTCTCTCTCTCTCTCTCTCCTCTCTTCTGCTCTCCCTCTACCCTTCAATCCTCTTCAGGCTTCTCTTAATATCCGCATCTGCCGCCCGAACCTTGATGTGCATCGGACAATTAGTTTACCTGGTATCCGCGTAAGAATTCTTTTTTTTTAATGGCCACAACAATTTCTTTTAGTGATTTAGCGCAATTACTGGCTCTAACACCTCGCCATGATTCTTTTATTGTATTTTCGGCAGTCATTTATACCTATACATTAACACTACCGTATGGTATCCGAATCGCTCATTATTTCGTGTCGCTTGGGTAGGTGTCTCTCTCTCCCTCTCTCTCTCAACTCTCTCTCTCTCTCCTCTCTCTCTCTCTCTCTCTTTCCTTCGCGATATCCCACTTTTATAGACGCTTCATCGCCCTCGCCTTCAACGGGCGCTATTTCGAGCTGGCCCTCCGGCTCCCCTATCTTCAGCTCCTTATACCGTACCTTCTTGCGGTATTCCTCAGAATTAGTCTGGAATTTAACCTCTTCGACGCCAACTGGATAGGCTATGTCGATAGTTTTTTGATCTCGCATATTGCCGCCTTCGACTGTTTTGCATATGAGAAGCTGAAGGCCGTGGGTTCTCTCTCTCACGCTCTCTCGCTCTCTCTCCACCTCTCGCTTTCGATTTAGTCGTTTCAATAGTTGAAAACTTATTTTTAGTACACAACCAAATCGCAAAAATTCAAGAACTTCCAGAAACCGCTGGGATTAATGGTAAATTTAAATAGACATTTTTACTTGAAACTCTTAAAATTGCAGCTCGTCTTCTCATCCGTCATCTACATCCTTTTAACCCTGATCGCCAAGCTTGCCGAAAGCATAGCTCAAATATTCCTGGGCCCCGAAATCGCCAGCGCTGCGAATTTGGGCGTCACCCAGCTGGCGCTCTTCTTATTTTTGGCGTATGATGGGCAAGTAGATCGAGCGTAAATATGTTAATTTTTTGTTAATTTAGTATCCTAAGCCTGCTCTTTCTGAGAAGACCGAAGGAAAGTGAAGCCATATCAGTGACTTCCGCTTCGAAAATGGTTAAGAATGCCGACAGAAAGAAATCGCAAAATATTATCGGTGTTAATAAGCACGGGTCTAACAGAGACAAAGGGTTACAGAGAGAGAGAGAGAGAGAGAGAGAGAGAGAGAGTGAGAGGGAGAGATAGAGTTTCCTCGTCCTCCCCCAATATAATTATCTATTAAAGATTAATTTAAAAGTTCCCCCCTCGCGGTCTTTGATATCTTGGCCCTGTTTCCAGCCCAATTACCGTGTGAATTCACGCCTAAACCGATCGCAGATTCCCATCAACGGGAACAACGGCTTGACGGAATCGAATCAGCAGATTTTTGCTGTTCTTTGCTTCTTCGTAACAAATAATTTCTAGTCCGACGGCATGTTGAACTTTAGACCTAGCCACGACTAGCTGCGATCGGTCTTGGCCTATCGATCCCTTGAGCAGTAGCTCATCAAACAGCGTGGTTGAGCTTTCCTGATTGACTTGCTCTCTCTCCCTCTCTCTCCCTCTCTGTCTTCCTCTCTGTCTCTTTCTCTTTCTTTCTCTCGCTCTCTCTAGCTCTTTCTCTCTCACTCACTCTCGTTGTATCTGGAATCTCCACAGCCCACGTGCAACTTTCGACTAAGAAGCAAAACTTTATCCCACAAATTAACACGCGTATTTCTTCAAATTCAGGTTCGAAAGAAGTGTTATGGTTCTAAGATAGCCAGTCGCTAAAATGTGGGCTCTTCTACAAAAATATCGAGAATTGATTGCAGTCGTGGTGTTGACGATTTTCTTCTATGGTAAGAGCATCGGTATAAATAAACAACTCATATACTTTTTTAAGCAATTAATACGCTCTCCGGCCATGTTTTCCTGCTGTTGCGTAAAGTTGAAGTCAGCAGTGTCCCGATGGACATTGGCGAATACTTGGACATATATGGCAAAATCTACACCTATACTACAGATTTTGTAAGTTTATCAGTTAGCTGTAAGCTGTAAGGGGTCGAATACGTCCTATTATACTTCTCACGACGAGCCAAATTAATCGAAACCTCTAGATCTACATAATCTCAGTCATCGTCAACCCAATTGCCATCTATATCACGATTTCGAACAAGAAAATTGCCTGGCCGATACGGTAAGTGAAATTTTTCAACTTCTCGGATGAATATGCAAATTCCAGGTTGCTCCTAATTTCCGAGGCGGCATTTCGTACATTGATGTGTCTGGGGCAACTGCTCTATCTGCTCACTGCGTAAGTGAGAGAAAGAGGGAGAGCGAGAGAGAGAGAGAGAGAGAGAGAGGAGCGATTGGAGGGATCGGAGTGTAAGGAATAATTTCAGCGGATTTTCCTTAACCTCTAGCAGCGATGAGCTATCAGTCGAAGGATCTTTTATTAGCATATCGGTAGCGATCTATACTTATACCATTACGTTGCCTACCGGGATTCGGATTGCACACTATTTTATTTCGCTCGGGTTGGTCTCTCTCTTTGTCTCGCTCTTTGTCTCTCTCTCTCTCTCTCTCTCTCTCTCTCCTTCTGTCTCTCTCTATTTATCCAACTTTTCTAGACGCTTCATCGCCCTGGCCTTCAACGGTCGCTATTTCGAGCTGGCCCTCCGTCTTCCCTATCTACAACTCTTCATACCGTACTTTATCGCCGTGATTCTGCGGGTCAACCTCGAGTTCGAAACGATCCCCGTCGATTGGCTCGACTATGTTGACCCCTTTTTGATAGCCCATATCGCGGCCTTAGACTGTTTTGCATACGAAAAGTTGAGAGCTGTAAGTCAGTACGGTAAAACTAGCCAACTTTTGTGGATTTTAGCACACTGCGAAGTCGCAAAAGTCCAAGAGCTCACAGAAACCACTGGGATTAATGGTGGGTTTAAGTAGTCTTATTTTTTTAAGAGCTATAAATTGCGCAAACTTGACTACGTCAAACGTCTTCGACCCTGAATATCTACAACTTTCAGCTCGTTTTTTCGTCAGTAATCTATATTTTCCTGATCATTGCTGCTCGATTAGTTCAAACTATTGTCCAAATATTCCTCGGCAATTTAATCGCCAGCCTGGCAAACCTGGGCGTCACCCAACTGGCGCTGTTCCTATTCCTGGCGTACGATGGGTAATATTTAGCTTTGTAAAATTTCTACCTTTAATTTTCTATTATAGAACAATATATAATAGCTTTTTTTAGAATCCTCAGCCTACTCTTCCTACGGCGACCAAAGAAAAGTGATGCGGTATCAGTAACCTCCGTCACAAAATTTGCCGGGAATATCGATCGAAAAGCCACGAAGAATACGATTACGCTTGCCAATAAATCACGGGTTTAGTGATTTCGAGTGATTCAGACAATTCTGTATCTTGCTCTGTCTATCACTATCTATCTCTCGCTCTCTCTCTCCCTCTCTCTCCCTCTCGCTCTCTCTCTCTCTCTCTTCCTTTCACGCTTTGTGCGCGAGTTTGCGTCTTGAAATTCGCAATTTCACTTCACCAAAAATTCATTTTGGAATTTCAATTTGTCGATTTTCACCTTGTCGAAAACCAGAACGTCGAAATTTTATTTTGCGCATTAACGAGATGTGATTGTGGTAGACGCAGCCGAGTCCCGCATAAAATCGATGAAATCCTGAGCAATCGGGAGTCGGATGGCGCGGGGTTTACTTAGAAGGATTTCTTGGAATTTCCCGGTCTTTGGCTTGTACTTTTCAAGTTGCGCGCCGGTCCAAGGGCTGAGCCATGTGATAGACAGCGTATCGGCATGAAGTGGTGGCAGGTCAAAATTCTGGGGGTATTTTAAGTGTAGCTTCGAAACGTTGGATCCTTGAAGGAGCGGGCCCCAGAAGCGCTTGTTGTAGAGACAGCGCCTGGCTCGACGATGGAAGACCATGGCGCAGGTGCCGCAGAGAGTCAGCTCAACCTCGGTGAAGCGACGTGGACTGTTACAGATGAGTTGCCAGTTGGCCTTGCTGGTCAGGGAGAATTGGACGAGGGAGTGGAGGTCGTCAAGGAGGCCGGGGATGAGTTGGCGCTTCACTGGGTCCGGCAGATTTTCGAAGAAATCGATTGTCTGAAATTTGTTTCTTATGATTGTGTGAGGGAGAGACAGCGAGATAGAGAGAGATAGATATAAAGGGAGAGAGAATGAGACGAGACGTTTAACTTACAAAATCTGAACGTTTATTGTCGACCAACGGCCGCTCGAAGTCGTGCTTTTTCTAAAAATTGCATATAAACGCCAGACAGCCCGCTATTTTGCGAGTCCAGCCAAATGTGTGATTTTTTGAAATATCGTTATTCAACTTTTTAGAAATGTTTCAATCGACAATACCTTCGTTGAAGTCTCATCAAGTGCCGGGTAGAGATGGGCAAACCTCCACGGATCTTCGACGTCTGGACCCCGAGGCCTCCACTTCCGCAGCATGGCGTCCTGACGAGAGAAGTAGGAGTGGTGAGAATGGAATGCGAGAGCAAGGGAAAAAGGGAGCGGGATAGGAAGAGAGAGAGAGAGAGAGAGAGAGAGAGAGAGAAGAGAGAGAGAGAAAGAAAATGTGAGACGAGAACGTAGAACTTACCGGCCTTGAAAGAAAATTGTTCACCCCCTCGAAGACGCTTCTCGGGCGACGCCCGTGATTTTCCCACTTTATCTTCAGCTTTTCTTGTTCCTTATCTTTTTCCTCCACAAATAGTGAAAATATGGTTCGCCGGTGAGGGCCTGTAATCACAGCGACGTCCTCTTCGATATATTTCGTGTCGTACCCCTTGTGGGTTGATTTCCAGATGGCGATGTTGCGCGCGGTGCGCTCGTCGAAAGAAAACGTGATCGATTCGATATGTCTTCCACCCTTGATCCATTCCCTCATCAAAAGACGATGAAAGGGCCCCAATTCTTTATTGACCAACCAGCCATTAACGACATGGAACCGCAGACGCTTATTTTGGAACCGCCGGAAGGATTCCTTGTACCACAGATGCAACTGATAGCCCGGAACCCGGCACGCTAGCTGCTCGGCGGAGTCTCGCACGAAACTGACCAACTCATCCGAAATCTCTCCAGAAACTTCCAGGCTTAGCTGGATCTCCCGGTATTTCCCGCTCTTCGGCAGGTACTTTTTGAGGATTTCAACGGTGCACAGATCGGCGGTTTCAATATCCAGGGAGTCGACATGGAGTGGGGGCAGCCTACGATTGGCATCGTCTAGGCGTAGACGAGAGACTTCGGATCCTTCGAAAAGCGGACCCCAGAAACGCTCATCATAGAGATAATGCTTGCTTCGGCCGTGGTAGACGATCGCACAGCCTGATGATGTCAATTCCACCTCGAGGAAGCGACGGGGACAGCTGCAGACGAGGAGCCAGTTTGTTTTGCTGGTCAGTGAGAATTGGATCAGAGAAGGGAGGTCATCGCCCAGGTAGGAGGTGATGAGCAAGCGCTTCATTTGGTGGGGCAGACGCTCGATGAAGCCGAATGTCTGAAATGAAAGTTTTATTTTGTGTTTTGTGTATGATAAAGATAGAAGGGGAAGCGAGGAGAGAGAGAGAGAGAGAGAGGAGAGAGAGAGAGAGGAGCGAGAAGAAGAGAGATGAGGTAAGAACGGTGGGAGAGTGCGAGATAGTGAGAGCTCTAAAGAGAGCAAGAACGAGAGAATGAGGGCAAGAACGGGTGAGAGAGGGCGAGCGGCGAAGATGAGTGAGAAAGAGCGAGATAAAGAGGCCATAAAGAGAGAGAGAGAGAGAGAGAGAGAGAGAGAGGGAGGGGAGAACCTGAACCAATAATCATCTGAAGAACTTACCAAATCTGAATCCTTAAAGTCGACCGGGGAAAAAAGTTTGCGCGCTGCCGCTGCCACTACTTCCGGCCGCTCGAAAGCGTGCTTTTCTGAAAATTCTTCTGATCTTTCTCGACCCCTAAAATTTTGTTCCTGCGAATTCAAATTTGTAACGAAAAGTAGCGCCACCTCGTTCGAGCATGTTGAGGGCGCTGGGATGTTGAGGGCGCCCGGGGTCGTAAGTGACGCAGCAAGAAGGTCGAAAAAATCGGAGAACGACCAACTATTGCTATCGTTTCCGCTTGGCCGAGCACGATGATTTGGCATGTTTTTCTGAACTGCTTCACATTAACTTTTTGGAGGTTTTTGAAAACATGAGGCCAAAAGTAAGAGGGGAAAAGAAACACCAAAAACGCAGCAGATTTTGCAACTGGCCTTTCTCGTGGATTAGGGAAAAGCCATAACCACAAAGGTATACATGTTATTAAATCGATAAGTTGGAAGGTGTGCAAGCCGTTTTGCCAGGCAGGATAGATGCAGTGGCGACACCTTGCGGGCAGATGCATTTGAATTTGCCGGCATCGTGACCTAGTTTCTTAAGTACATTAAGGTTGACTAGGGAGAACAAACAAGAGGGCCCAGAAAATGATTCCAAAAGTCATTGCCATGAATAAAAATAGGTGGAGAATAAGGCAAATTAACGCCACAGCCTAACCCTTCAAAGAAGACAGCTTATAAAAGGTACCTTGTCGCAGCTGTGAACTCTACCCCGCGACACGCAACGCGCACGCCATGATCTCCCCGAAAACTACTAATGTGTTTTGCAACAAAATGCGACCCGCGCGTCGCGTGTAGCGCATGCCGCAATCCATAACCGAGTAATCGACAAAACCATCGCCGATGCAGAATGCCCATAACTTGTCCTCCATTCTAATGGCCACCTGGAGTCGCTTAAGGCGCGCCATTTTAAGTAATAATTTTAATATGGCTAGACGTTACTTTACCCTCCCCCCAGCTCTAGAGTTCCAACATTTTTCAGCATTTTCGCCAGCTTGTCGGGATTTTTGCCCCGCCATTCGATAAACCATCAAAACAAAATTTTTGTTTTTTTTGAGCGGTTTAAGCCGTTTTGAGCCGCAGATCTTCAGACTCTATTTTCCGAATTTTCCATACTTTGCAACTTCCTGGGAATCCCAAAGTTCCAGCTAAAAACCGCGCTCAAAAATGAGCGTGAGGCCAGAGTGCAATTTCACCCAAATTTTCGGCTACACAACGCGCAAAATTGGCCGAAATTGCCATGGGAATTTAAGAGGAGAACTTTTAAGGGAAAAGCATAGGTCTCCAAAATACTTCCAGCTGTCGTAAGAGATGTTCCGCCTTCAAAGGTATCTGGAAATTATTGAAGTTGTCGTATTGACGATTGGATTCTTCGGTTTGGTATTGTCCAAAAACTAAATTATTAATTTAGGCACCGTACTCCTGATGGATTACGTTTTTGCGTGGTTACGACAAGTGCCTATTAGCAGCGTTTCCATAGATAGTAGCACATTTTTATCACTAACGGATGGTATCTACATTTATTCCAACGATTTTGTAAGTTATATATTGTTAGCTTCATAGTTTTTAATTTTTAGATCTATATAATATCCCTTATTGTTAATCCTGCCGCTATTTATGTAACTGCCACTAATAAGAAAATCGTTTGGCCAGTACGGTAGGTTACTGCAAACGATACCGTAGCTTACGGGTGACAAGGAATTAATTCATAATTTTATGTAAATAGCGTCAACATTACAGTTTTGTTATTATAAAAATTAAATTGTCATGGTTTTAATTTTTTAAATTCAGTCAAAATACACAAATTTAGGCTGCTCCTAATTTCCGAGGCAACCACCCGCACATTAATGTGCTTTTGCCAGGGCACTTTTTGGATCGGGGTGTAGGTTTCTGGTTTTCCGCTTACGACGGAAAATTCTAGGATTTTCTACCAAAACCTCGTGTTCATGCAGAGTGAAGGGCTGACAAATTTTCTGGCGCAGATGATCGAAGTTTTCGTGTATCTTTTTGCGTATACTGTAACGTTGCCTTACGGTATTCGGATTGCCCATTATTTGGTGTCTTTAGGGTGGGTCTCCCTTTAGCTCTCTATCTCTCCTTGTTTCCCTCGCTCGCTATCTCTCTCACACTATCTCGTTCTCTCTCACACATCTCTGTCGCTCTCTCTCACGCACGCTTTCTGTCTCTGTCTCTCTGCCTCTCTCACTCGCTCTCCTCTCTCTGTCTCTCTCTTCTTTTTCCGCATGGCAAGCTAGCAGAGATTCTACAGGATTTCAACTTTTTTATTCAGCCGCTTCATCGCACTAGCCTTCAACGGCCAATATTTCGGTCTCGCCCTGAAATGGCCTTATCTTCAGCTTCTTATGCCGTATCTCATCGCCATTCTCCTAAGAATCGCCCTCGAATTCGACATCTTCCGAATCCCGTGGCTCCAATATTTTGATGATTTCTTGAAATCGCACATCGCTGCACTAGACTTTTTTGCCTACCGAAAATTGAGAGCCGTGAGTTTTTGGATTTTGCTTGTGGAAATTTGCATATTCAGCATACCAGCCGCTCCCAGCACTTTCGAAGCTCGCAGCAAATGCTAGGAGTAATGGTAAAAATTTCCCACGGTTATTTTAGTCTCATCCTTTTCGCTGGTCTTCTCGTCGGTCATCTACATCCTTCTCATCGTTGCTGCCCGGTTTTTGCAGTCGATATTACAAATTTTTCTGGGAGATGAGATCGCAACCCTCGCCAGTTTGGCCGTCACCCAACTGGCTCTATTTCTATTTCTTGCATGGGATGGGTAGGTCTCACATATATGGACGTCTATATCTTACAATCTTACAGTAATCAGTTACAAAACAAACAGACATGTTTTTAGCATCCTAAGCATATTATTTCTACGCCGGCCAAGAAGGAGAGAGACCATCTCTGTGACGTCAGTAACGCGAGAACCGCCAAATATTGCTCGAAAACCTTCGTTTAATATCACTTTTGTAAATAAAGCGGAAGCATAAGGGCGATAATACGAGAGATAGGGATAGAGAGCGAGAGAGAAAGTCAGGGAGAGAGAGCGAGAGAGAGAATTGGAGAGAGAAAAGAGCAAGGGAGACAGAGAGGGAGAGAGAGTGAAAGAGAGAGAGAATACGAATTTTTCTAGTGACATCCTCAAGGGGCCGGGAACGTCGGCTACCGGATGGTGGCCAGATTTTATAGAAGGGTTGATGTCCTTTTCTTCTCAAGTTAATACGCTAACATTGACGTTACCTTATGGTATTCGAATTGCGCATTATATGGTGTCACCGGGGTTGGTTGTATGCCCATGCGCTCTCTCTCTCTCTCTCTCGCCTCTCTCTATCTTCTCTTCCTCTCTCTCTCTCTCTCTCTCTCTCTCTCTATGTCTGTACATTACCATTTTCAAGGCGCTTCATCGCTCTATCCTTCAAAGGCCGCCATTTCGGGCTCGCTCTCAAACTGCCCTATCTTCAGCTCCTACTACCGTACCTCATCGCCGCGCTTCTGCAGTTCCTCCTCGAATTCGACGTCCAAGCCTATTCTTGGCTCGACTATCTCGAAGATTTTCTAGTCGCAGATATTGCGGCCCTAGACTTTTTCGCTGCACTATTATTTTTGGCATGGGATGGGTAAGTATGATTTTACTTACGTGTTTCTTAAGAAAGATTATCCAGGGCTTAGATACATTTTTTAGGATTCTAAGCCTGCTTTTCCTTCGGAAGCCCGCAAGAAGTGACACGACTACGTAACTACGGCCATGCAAGGATCTACAATTCTCGACCAAAAATCGTCTTTGCGTGCAAGGTCTTTGAATACGGTTTAGTCAATTATTCCACGAGGATATAGAGAGTCAGTGGGAGAAAGAGAGAGAGAGAGAGAGAGAGAGAGAGAGAGAGAGAGAGAGACAGATAGCGGAAAGCTCATTCTGAACTCTGAGCCCATTCAGTGTCCTTCCAATTTTCACTCGTTTAGAAAACGAGGGTCCAGCTGCTCAAATTAACCTGAGAACTCCCCACAAACTTTTGCACTCGGTCTCGATTCCAAAGTTTCCATTAGGATCTCTAGAAAATGTTAAGCTACCGTCATTTCGGGGAAGTTTTCGAAGTTCTACTGTTGACGGCGGGATTCTTGGGTAAGCTTGGGATTTTAGGGTACAGATACCTTGAGTAACGGTATGGGCATAAGCGAGGCTTGGGCTTAAGCAAAGTCTTCGGCCTTTCCTACTCTGGCTTAGGCTTAGACTTGGGCTTATACGAACTTATATTTAGGCTCAATCTTTGGCGTCGACGCGCTGTCGAAGTGGCTTCAACAGTACCAAATTGGTGATGTGCAATTGGATAACGTTGCATTCTCAAAATATGTTACCTGGATGTATTACACTACGACCACCTTTGTAAGCACAAAGGCCGTTTTTCAGCGGTTTTTTAGATTTATATAATTGCCCTAATTGTCAACCCGATAGCTGTATATCTAACAATGGTTAATAAGAAGATTGTATGGCCGGTCAGGTATCTAAAACGCTTGTTAAAAAATCACAAAACAAGGCTGCTGCTGGCTTCTGAGGCAGCTGCGCGCATTCAGAGCGCGACGCAGTTGACGCTTTGGGTGGGCATGTAAGTTTGCGTTGCTTGTCTAAAAGTTGTGGAGCCTTTCTTAGTATTAATTAATATCAAACTTATTAATGTTCTCGCTAGCTTGCCCAAAATTTTGATCGGCATGCTTACTCAATATTTGGTTCTGCGCAGGGCAATTTGATCTATGATGTCACGCGCGCCGTTTTGAGCTTGGGAATTACAAGTTATGCAAATACCACCCTATTGTCGACGGGAATCAGGATGGCCCAGTACATGGTTCATTGGGGTATGTTTTTTTGTTTTTCCTTGTGCTGGAGCTTTTTCACTGGACTTCGCGTGCCGTGGGCTGCAACGCGTAGGAAGGAAGGGTTCATTACGCTGTAAAGCCCCTGCAAAATTATGTGAATTCCATTAGCAATGATTTTTAAATGTAAAAATTTGTAGTGAAGAGATTTTAAGATGTCGAAATTCATACGAAGATATCAAATGCCGAATTTCAGAATGTCAAAATCTATAATTTCCAACATGCAGAATGCCGTAAATCGCAAAAAAATCCGAAAACTAAGAACTTCGTAAACATTGCAACATATGAAAATTTCTACATACTAAATTTCGACATATGCAAATTTCAAAATTAGCAATTTTGGACTGATGAAATTCGACATTATGAAATGCAGGCATTTTGGATTTTGG